AAAGAAGGTCATCTGTCTTATCTGTTCCCAGGCAGCATCTTCCTAAGGGACTAGATCTGTATTTGACCAAACAGTAGGCACTGCCGCCTGGCTAAGCTGACGTTTAAGCTGCACCCTCAGAGTATCCCATTGCACTGGTGAGAACCTGAAGGCTCAGGTGGGATCGCTTGCCCAAGGTCACCAGCCACAACACAGCCAAGACTCCCTTTCTCTTTCCTTTTGCTTGTCCAGATGGGAGACCTGGGACGAGTCTAGTTTACAGAACGAGACCCCAGGCCTGCTGGATGAGCCCTGGACCCTGCCCTTGTCCCCCAGCCCCAGTGACCCTTCTCCCTCCTCTCCCAGACCAGTGAGGCTGTTCTAGAGAGAGGTCTCTGACCCACCCCAATCAGTATGCTACCTTCCTGTGACTCGTGGCTTCTCAGAGGTCATTGGTGGGGAGAGCTGATTCCCTGACCCCTGACCCAGGTGTCCAGTTCTGCAGAAGCCAGGGGGAGCCTTGTGGTGGCCACTGTGACTGCGGGTCTCTTCTGAGGAACAACTACATTCCTGGTTCCTCTGTTCAATGACCTATGATGTTCCTCCTTCTGTGGCCTTCAGTCTTTAGGCTCCAGTCTCCCGGGAACCTAGAACAAAGTGGACCCAGAGCGTGCTGTGGAAAAGCCCATCGTATTTGAGTAAGCCAGGCTGGGCCATAGGACCATTCACCTCCAGGGACTGGTCAGATCCTCAGTGATGAGCAGTCACAGTGACCACATACGTTTGTAGCCTTGCATGCACCTGAATCCACTCATTTCTCTCCAAAGCCCGGGAAGAGGGAGGGCCTTATGTGTTTCTTCACCATGAAGGAGACACTCTGGCTCTGTGGGGTAACAACCCTGGACTGCCTGCCCCCCACAAGGTCAGCAGCTCAAAGCTGCCAGTCATTTCGCAGGAGAGAGATGAGTCTATCTGCTCCCATCAAGAGCCATGGCCGCAGAAATCCTCTACAGGGGGCTGCTGTGCGTTGGGTCCACTGGAGAACCGTGCGTTTTGGGTGCTGTGGTTAAGGAGCCACCAGACGCTAAGCAGCGTGCTCTAGTGGGTACAGCTAGTGGGATAGAGAGTCTGGGTTTAAATGCCAAGCAAAACCAGCAACCAACCCCTTGCTATCGAGTTGCTGGCCACCTATGGAAGTCCTATATGGTACAGAGTAGAGAGTAGAACTGCTCCATAGGGTTTCTTGGCTGTGCTGTGTATGTGCATAAGGTGTGCGATATATGGATTTGAAACCATGTAAGCCCTGCATGCGTCCATTCCCCAAACGCTAGGTGAACTGTGTGCATGGGTGCATTATTCACGTGCGTGTGTACGGTGTGCTGAACGACAGTCACCCTCATCGAAGCAGATCGACAGCCCTTTGTTCTGTGCCACCACTGGGGGGTTTCAGGGACGTAGCTGAGAGCTAGGCGTTTGTGCCACCCAGGGGTCCTGGTGGACGGGCAGGGGTCAGCTCACAGGCCTCAGTAAGCCCGCACGGTCTGGACTTATGGGGAAGCCACTAATAGAAATAAGGCTGTGACTAGGAGATGCCCTCCCCCATCCCACCACTCCCGCCCCCCTCCAGGGGACCGGCAGTCCAGAGCCCAGGGAGGATGGGGCAGTCCAGTGCCCAGGGAGGATGGGGCAGAGCCTCTTAAAGGCAGGTTTTACTCATTCCAAAACATCACTGCGCGAGCCTTACTTCAGAGCTACGTTTGTTTGCTCAAAAGCTTAGGGATCAGGAACAGATGCAAGGGCAGAGGTTCAAATCCCCCAGCCTCTCTGCAGGACAGAGACAAAGCTATCTGCACCCACAAAGCTTTACAGCCCCAGTGGGGGGGGCGGGCGGTTGCACGTTGGAACGGACTCCATGGCAGGGAGTGGCTCTCAGAAACGGCCTCCTGCTTAGCCAGAAAGAGAAATGAGGCTCTGATCCAAACCCCAGCACAGGCAGACCCTGCGAGCGCTCCGCATAGTGAACACAGGGCAGGTACTGTGGGCTCACCCTTCTGGGAGACGTCTGGACAGGCGGGTGCACAGAGACCTAGGCCTGTCTACTTGCCCACCAGCTCCAGAAGTGCATGGGAGGAGGCCCTTGCGTCCGCCTCTGCCTGGGAGGGGAGAGCTATGGGAAGAAATGGAGCTGTCCCTGCAGGAGCCCCCGGAATTGCTCACTGAAACATGGTGGGAATGGGGGGGGGGTACCCTGCTTACATGCTTTCCCCACAGGAAATGAGGGGCGGGGGAGTGTGCCAGTGGCTTGTCAGGGCACGGGGTTGCCCTCTCAGATAACTGGGAGCCTCGCTCTGGCTGGTCTGGCCTCATTGTTTGCCTCTCTTCAAGTCAGGGAGGACCTGGGGCAGGGCGCTGTGGGGAGGGGGCTCTAAGGGGGAGGTCCTAACCAGGATGCCCTTGAACTTCCCTCTTGAGGTCCTTTGCCTCATCTTCCTGGCCTGCTAGGCTCAGTGGCTTCCAGCTGAGAAGGAAGTTGACTCAGGTGCGTGAGCAACTGAACTCTGAGCCTGCTCTTCCCTTTCTCAATCCGACCTCCCTGACCCTGACGTTCACAAGGAGTCTCCCTCCCTGTGGCATGCTTTGGTCACCTCCTGACCTTCGGGTGACCCTGGCCTGGATGCTGGGTCTGCTTTGACCTTCGTAACCTCTGCAGAGGAAGAGTCCCGGTGAGGCCTGACTGCCCCTGCAGGAGGGCCTGGCCCACAGGGCGATGGGTGGTGCAACCCCACGTGACTTCTCAGGAAGTGTGGGGTGAATGAGCTGCTCCGTGGGAGTGGGGTGGAGAGCCCAGAGACCAGCGCTGAGCTGCACTCTCCCACCCTGACCCTCAGCCTCCCCCTGCAAACAGAAACCCATGTCTCCTCCTGCTCAGTGTCCGAGCTCGGCCACTGTGTTTGCCCAACAGATTGAGGACCCTGGCAGCGCCGGGGCGTGACGCCTTCTCCTGGGGCTTCCCAGTCTTCACCCACCTCCTGGGCTGGTGGGTGCTGTCAAGTTGATTCCAACCTCATGGGACAGAGGAGACCCACTTCCCCTTTGGGGCTCCTAGGCCGCTGTCTTGACACTCTTCGGAAGCTCCCCCTTCAGCCAGTAGGGGTGGGAGACCAGCGCTCCCTTCATACCAACCCAAGGGAGGAGGCATGCTGGACACCCTCAGGAAGTGGCCCAGTGTTCCTGGCAGGGTGGGGACAAGTGAACTCATGAGTGACACCTCTAGGGTGGTTGAGGCTGGAGTTGGGAGACCACCCGGACCTCTACAGAGTCTTGGTGAGCTTTCCTGGAACCATCTGGCTGGGGAGGGAGAGCCCGCCGTTTCCAGCTGGGGGTCAAACCACACTTGACCTGGTTTGAGGCCCTGGTTTTCAGGTGGTCCGAGGTGGTGCTTCTGTAGCCACAGAGAGAGGGAGCCCTGCCTGAGGTTAGCCCAAGGATAGGATAGAGTCATCTGAAGCAGGGACTGTGACTAGCTGGTTCTGGCTACTACAGCAAACTCCCCAGACCCACAAGACAACATGGCTGTCTTCATAAGGTGCTGGAGGTCTGATCAGACGTGGATCCCAGGCTGAACCCTCAAACAACCCTTCACAGGGGTCGCTCAATTCATAACAGTAGCAAAATGACAGTGATGAAGGAGCAATGAAAATAATTTGTGGTTGGGGGTCACCACCACATGAGGAACTGCCTGAAAGGGTCGCAGCATGAGGAAGGTTGAGAACCACTGGCCTAGAGGCTGCCATCAGAGCCCTGGCAGCATGGTGGTTAAGTAGTCAGCTGCTAATTGAATGGGGAGTCGTCAGAACCCAGCAGCAGCTCCACAGGAGAAAGACGGGGCCACCTGCTTCCTTAGAGAAACGCTGCCGGGCAGTTCTGCTTTGTGCAAACGGGGCTCACTAGGAGACAGAACCCACTGGAGGCAGAGGGTTAGACGCTGCGGCTTGTCTTGGCTCCCAGCCTCTCCTTCCATGTTAGAATCCAGCAGTGTTGGCCGAGTCCAGCCCCGGCTACCTCCTCTCCCTTCTGCCTCCTGAAATTAGCAACTCTGACTCCTTCTGAAACTCTCCCCACCGCCAGCACCCACACCACACCCACACACGGCTGTGGCTAACTTAGTCATAGGTTCTGGGCATTCTAATGGAGAGTGTTTTGAGGGGCACTGCTCTGCTGACCACAAAGAGGGAATGGTAGGCAGAACCAATGGATGTCTCCCCGGTACCTTTCTAAAGGGGTTCGCCCAGCACACCCACCAGACCTATTGTCTAGGAGAGGGGCCTGGCACTCAGAGGAGAAGCGAAAAGGTCGATCTTGAGAAGGCTGAGGGCTTCTGGGGTGTGGCCTGGGCCTAGGTGCCCAGGGCCTCCTCCCAGGGTATTCTACCAAGGGTCCTTGGCTGGGAGCCACAGGACTAACGGGGTGGCCTTGATAGGTGTGCCCCCAAGAAGAATGGATGGCAGCAACTGTGGCTTACCTGGGAACACAGGTCAGCCTGTAGGTGGTCAATGCTGTCTCCTTGAACCCAACCCCTCTCACTGTCACCCAAGTCCCACCGACCTTATTCCTAAAGGGTGCGGGGACCTGTACCTGCCCCCACCTCCACTCTCGCCACCTTAAGTCAGACCTGTGTGCCTCAGGAGAAATGCCACACCAGCCTGAGATGGTTGCTTTCTCTCCCTTATTCTGGGACCTTCCAGAATGAATCCTCACCCGCCTTGTTCCCCTTCTAGACAGCAGAGGGTGTGTGTTGAAACGAAACAGCAGCCTGGGATTCGGAGCTGAGCGAGATGAAGACATGAATGATGTTGGCCAAGCATCACCACAAAGGAACCACTCCGAGCCTCCTTCACTGCATGCGGTCACTTTATTGAAACAGAGCGGCCGTTCTAGAGAACAAGGCTCCCACAGTGGGTAGCTGAGCAGCTAGGGCAGGGCTGGCAGGTGGTGACATCAGAGGAGGTCCCAGAGGCGGGTCACTTGCTGTAGGTCTTGGCGCCGGGTTCTGGGAGGCCTGTGAGGTCATCACTCAGTCCCTGGCTCAAGGGCGAGGCCTCCTCCTCACTCTCAGTGGCCTGCTGACCCTCAGCTCCATCTGGAACAGGAGAGATGGGGGCACCATGGTCCAGCCTTGGAGTAGGAGTTCCCCTTCCGGGTACCCCAGAGACCCCAGCCTCGGATGAGCTTGCTCTAGCAATGCCCCAGAGGGACACTTCTGGGGGTATGAGATAGTTAAAGTTTAATGTGCCAACCTGGCCGATAAACACATGTGGGGTTAATTGAAGGGCAGAGAGATAAATGGCTTGGTGAGCCTAGCCTTTCTAGTTCTCAGGTCTCTTGCTTTCTGATGGCCAGAGAGGGTGCAGCTGCCTTAGCCAGTTCTCTGCTTCAGCTGGCAAGGCTCACTTCCTGTAAGACACCCCCGAGGAGAAGCTGCATGGACCTAGCCCGATGCAGTCCTGGGTGCTGGAGCAGCCATGTGGAGACCCCTGCCAGCGCTGAGATCTTACACATTCACTGATTCAGTTTTCCTCCTGCAGTCGGCATCATTGTGTGTGTTTTGTGAGATGGAGGAGGACTTTGTGGATTGGTGTTGGACATATGGGTTAATGTAGGACTTGTGGGCTTGGACAGCACTGGGCTGGGATGTTTTCTTGATGTGCACTTAACCTTTATATAAAACTCTCTCTTATACCTGTGAGTTCCTGTGGATTTGTTTCTCTAGAGTACCCAGACTAACGCAGGTGGGAGCACCAGATTCAGTATGTGGCTACACGCAAAGCCGCTTGAGCTTGAAGGCCGAAGACAAGCGGCAATGTGCTAAAATGTGGGTTGGAGGAGGTCATCTTTCAGTCCCATTGTTCCCCTCCTGAAGAATGCCTGTCATTCTGAAACCTCAGCCCCGGAATCACCTCCCCTGGAAGCCTTCCCTGCCCCTCCAGGAAGAGGAGACCCCCTCCCCTCTGACCTCCAGCACAGCGCCAGGAAAACTAAAGAGCACTTACTGGCTGGGTGGCCGGCTCCACACTCTGCTGGAAGCTTCTAAGGTCAGTGTGTTCACACTGTGTTCACTCTACCTGCCCAACACCTCCCTATGACTCACGTGTGGCCCTCAGCATCCCTGCCCTGGGAGGCCAACCAGCGAGCCTCTGGGAGGAGCAAACTAGGGGTGCTCTCTGCTGCTCACACCAAGGTTCCAAGTTGTAGCCCTTGAGTCGTGCACATGGTTAAGCGCTTGGTAACTCGCTGCCAGGTCGGTTGTTCAAATCCACCCAGCAGTATCTCAGAAGAAAGGGGTCTGATGACCAAAGGACTGGTGGTCCACGTCTGAGAAATCAGCCAGTGGACGCTTGAGGGAGCACAAGTCTTTTCTGACAGCTCTGTTGCCTTGACTTAGAGCGGATTCAACGGTAGCCAACTGGTTTATGGACAAGTCAAATTCTCTTAACAGGAAGAGGAAGTGATGGCCACCTCTCCCCTGGTTCAAATCCTTCCCCAGGGCTTTCTATCCAGCCTTTTAAGACTAGAGGGGCAGGGGGCGTTTGGGAGTTCCTCTCAGGCTTGATGCTCTGATGGTGGCTCTCCATTCAACCCTCCTCTCCAAGCCCCTCTGTCTTCCCCCTCCTGCCCTGTCACCTGCAGGAGGCTCCTCACAATGTGGAGCCCCACCCCCCAGACTGTGAGCTCCTTCTAGGACAGGACCTTGGGGTAACTTACAGAGTAGGAAACAGAAGGCTCATGAAAGCTGGGGCACGGACGAGCCCCCCCCACCCCCACCCAGGCCCCACTGGGGCTGCTCTACCTGCTGACGCCTTCAGAGAAGGGATGTACTTGGACCAGAAGGAGCAGTCGGCTCGTTTCAGGCCCTGCCCATTGGGGAGCAGGGGGCTGAACTCCTTGTAGTTGTCGCCCCCGGCCCGGGGGAGGACATCGGGCCAGGGCACGGCGAAGCCAGGCGCTCTCCGGGAGAAGTCGTGCGGGTAGTTGGGGTTCCTGCAAAGCCCAAGGGAAGGCCATGAGGCAAGCGTGCACCCCCCTTTTCTCACTGGTGTCTGAAGGCCAGAGCCGATTCTTCTCCACAAGTGTCCCAGTAGGATGGGGACCCACGCGCCCTGCCACAGGGGCCAGGCCCCGGCTCCTGCTCTGCAAACCTGTCCAGGGGCCAGGGCTCCTGCCCATGCCACTGCCGGGCCACTTCCCGAGGAGGAGGCCCAGCACCTGGGCTCATGACCTCACACTGCCCCCCTTTCTCTGAAAGCCCCCCCAAGGTTCTGGTGTCCATTTCTACACCAGGGCCCTGTTATGGAGGTCCCAGGTGGTGCAAAGGGTCAAGGTTGGAGGGTCAGAGAGCCCTGGGGGGAAGCCTGTTGAGCTCCTGTCAAATCCAGACTCACGGTCTTCAAGTCCATTCTGACTCACAGGGAGCCTGTGGCACAGGGTGGAGCTGCCACCGTGGGTTTCTGAAACTGGGACTCTTTATGGGAGTGAAAGCCTCCTCCTTCTCCCACAGTGTGGCTGGGGGTCTTGAACTGCTAAACTTGCACTTAACAGCCCAACGTGTAACCACTACACCACGGAGCTACTGAAAGCCCCATAGAGCCGTTCTTTGTGGACATACCGGGGGATCCCATGAGTTGGAACTGATGCTCTGGCCAATGGATTTGGCGCCAAGCACATTGACTTAATTGCAGCATGGGCTCAGGGGCAGTGCGTTTGGTTTTTGGTTGGTCAAGCAACGCAGTGGCACCTAACTGGGGGAGGGCCGATTGTCCCAGCAAGGAGCATTTGACCATGTGAATCCTTTTTGGGTTTTATAATTGTGGGGGGGCGGAGAGGTGCTGCTGACATCAGGTGGGTGGAGACCAGAGATGCTGTTAAGGCAATTTAGATGCACAGGCACCCCCATAACCAAGGACCACCCAGCCTCAATATCCACGGGGCCGAGAAGACACCCTGGACCAGAATGGCCCAATGGGAGTGGTGTGACCAGAGCTTCTCCTCCTGGCTTAAGGACCACCAAGGGGGATTGGAGGGGGCTAGCCTGGGACTCATGGCAGGTCTGGGTCTGTTCATGGGGCCTCTGCCCTGTTCAGACGCAGGGAGAAAGCCGCAGTCACTCACCCAGATCTGATGAAGTTAGCGAAGAACTGCATGATTTTCAGAGACAGGCTTTTCTCCTCCCGACTAAACTGCCCCTGGTAGGCGGGGTGGAAGGGAAGTCCAAAGGCGTACTGCACGTCAGCCAGCAGCCCCAGGCTGGGGAGACAGATGGGAAGAAGGAGCAAGAGTTAAAGCAATACTAAACCGTTGTCCCGCAAGACGGATGGACAGCGTGGCTGCATCAATGGGCTCCGATGTCATTACCATTGTGAGGATGTCAGGGACCGGGCAGTGTTTGGGTCTGCTGCACACCGTGTCGAATTGAGTGGGAACTGGCTCTGTGGTGCCTAATGACCACTGCCGCCACCGATGTGGGGGAGGAGGGGGTGGGGGGAGAACCCACTGTGCAGCCCATTTCCAGAACGTAGGCTGCTCACTCTGCCAGTGGAACCCCAAGTCGGGTCAGAAGGAATGTCCTGGGGAGCCGGGAGTAAAGGTACCTCGGGAGACCTGGTCTGGGCCCTTCCCACATCTAGTACGTGGCTCTGGAAGTCATTTGACTCCCTGCTTCTGTACCCTCATCTGTGGGGATGGCCGGAGGTACGAATGGCTAAGCCCGGCACAGGATGGCTGGCATGGGTGCAGCTGGAGATGTTTGTGCTGTGTCACCCCCACCTGAGTCCTGTCCCCCGTTCTCCCTGCCTTGGAGTCACCAAAGAACGGCGATGGTGCCATTCTCCACAGCGTTTTAGGAGGGAAAGGGGGACAGCACCAGTGGCCACACTGGGCATACACTGTCCCTTGGCTAGCACGGTGACCCGTGGTTGGCAGTCGTTGTTCTTTATACAGTTGCAGTGACGTAGGCTCCATTCCTCTTCGTTCTGATGCAAAGGGTCTTATTTATAACCGAGGACAATTTGAAATAAGCTCCCTGAGAGGTTAAACGGTTTTCTAAAGCCGAACAGGCTTACCAGACATTCAGTTTTCCTGCATGAAAAGCAAAACTCCCTCCCTGAAACCCATGGTGGGACCAGCACCGTGCTGGGGGTCTGTGATGAGCTGAGCTATCTCTGTTGGTACCTTTCTCCCTTTGACCCCTTCGTAAGGACTGAAAGGCAGTGAAAAGAGGGAGACCCTTGAAGAGATGGAATAGCACAGTGGCTGCAACAATGGGCCCCAATATCACAAGGGTGAGGAGGGTTCTATATAGGGGCTCCTGTGTGTGGGCACAGACTGGACAGTCCCTCACAACAACAACAAGGGTGGAAAAGGTCTAGAGCAGGTGTGCTGTGCTGGTCTCACACTGTCCGCCTCACTGCAGGCACCGGGAGACAAGCATGGCTTACAAAAATATCCGATCGAAGCAGGGGCTTCTGAGGGGATCTCCTGGGCCAGTTAGATCCAAAGCAGGGATTACGGCGACTGACTTTGGGGATTCAAAGGGGTGATCTTGGTAGATTTCTCAAACGTTACAGGATGATCACAGGGGCTTATTAGGAAGATCTTTCCAGAAAACTGGTGAGAAAAAGGCCAAGAGATTGCGAAGAGAAATGTTTTCCCTCATTTCTTGGAGGGCAGCAAAGGCGAGCTTCCTTAGGAGAAGTTCTATAAGGAACCTTACCCTAAGGGACCTATAAGGACCCTAAGACCCTGACCTTACACCTGCAGACTTCTTTTGTCCACCTAAACTCAAAGAACATTTCAAAGGAACACGGTTTGAGCCCCTCACGAAGCCCACCTGCTGCTGTTGCAGGGCATGAATTGACGAGTGCGGAATTCTTGGCAGGAAGAGTTACAGGGAGGAAAGCTGCCTCCCAAAGTGTAAAGATCTGGCTGGAGGATATGTCCGGAAGCAGTGTCTTTCCATTTTGATATTTTTGTTTCATCAAAGATTTCTATGATTTTGTAGCAAAAGTTCACATCGTATCTGTAGCTGCCCAACACTGTCGCCTTTGGGAAACTGCATATATGTGTACTTTTCTTGGGAGACGCTATCTAGTGTTATGCTGGTAAAGTTTAACAACTGGCTCTTGACAGTGGGTGGGCCCTGCTTTGTAGCTTTTGCCAATCTCCATAGTGTAAATACTGCCAACCTGGCCAATGTTGAGCCATTAAGCATGGAACGGGGAAGTCACGTGAACAGTTGGCTCCCCCAGGCAGGCCAAATCCTGCCTGCTTCTGTCTGTGTGGGACCCTGAAGAGCCTGCTGGCCTGCTGGGTACGAGACTCCTGCTGCACCTTTGCTCCAGCAGGGCTGGCCTTTATCAGGAAGCAGGGGTTATCATAAGCAGTTTCAGGCAGACATGTGGAGGAGAGACAGCCCGTGGGAGCTTGCAAGAGGGGCTCAGTAGGTCTAGGCAAGGGCTGAGTCTCCGAGCCTCCAGCGTAAGCAGGGTGGGGGCAGAGACGGCATCAACAGAGAGAGACAGGGAAGGACCAGGATCAACCAGCTGAAGGGAGAGACCCGCGGGCTGAACAGTTTCAGCGTTTGCGTGTCTCACGCGGCTCATGCTTACTGATGAGGCTTCTTTCCCTCTGCTGGCATTGATTGATTGCTGATAAATCAGATACTCAAACCGATGGGGTCATATAGGCACATGGTCAGGCTAGAATGATTTAGCTTTGTCTTGTCGTGTACTTTCTTTGGTTGTCTGCAGTTGGTACCTTCTGCTCCAATGGCCAGGCCAGGTATGGCTCTGCCCACTGCAACTGGAGAGGCAGGTGTGGGGTCGAAGGAAGGTTGGTGCCCACCCACTTCCACCCCTGAAGTCATAAAGCCAGTTTGTGGTGGCCCTTCTGTTCCTCCTTCTCCTCCGCTGTTTCTCCTTCTATAACTCAGGCCCGACCATTCCTCCCAGCCTCTCCAGTGGCACCCCTGGGTGCTCAGAGGCAGGTCGCACCCTCTTGTTGCCACTCCGAGGCACTAGTTGGCTCCAGCTGAAGGCCGCTGCATACACCGCAGAAGGAAACACTGCCCAGCGCTGGGACCCCCTCACACCCTTCCCTTCACTGGGAGCCGTAGAGCCCAGTGCCTCAGCGTCTGTGTGTTCTCCAGCCCTGCCCCATGCCGCGTTTCATTGCGCGCCGTGCCAGTTTTATTCGCTCACTTTGGAAGTAGATCACACGGCCTTCCCTCCTAGCCCGTCCAGTCTAGCAGCTCTGCAGAAGCCTGTCAACCATGGTTTGCCAGGCACTCATCCGGCATCACAACCACATGGCCAGGAGTAGTCAAGGTAGGAGCCCCGGCCTCGATCTCTGCTCCCGGGGCCTGGGAACAGCACCCAGGATGTCTGAGGCTGGTGAGCATGAGGGCAGAGGGGTGTCCCATGGGGCTGGAGAACGACAGGAGGCCCTGCTGAAGTGATGGTGGGGTCTGGGGCAGTGGTGGCAGGACCTGCCAACCAAGTAACAAGCCACATTTGCATAATGCAGGTCAAGGGCAGAGAGGCTGGTCTGGGGAGGCTTGGCCAGACAGTCTGCCTGGGCGAGTTGATTTGTGAGCCCCGTGGGGGTCCGGGGTGTCAGCAAGGAATTGCACGCATAACAAAGAGCTCCATAAAAGGGTTGGGCTGCAGTCCCAGAAACGCCCAGCTCCCCACTGGCATGAAGAAACACCCTCCTGCCTCCAGCCCCAACGGCCCTATTTTGTCGCATTTCCCCAAGTCCCTCAAGCCCAGCGGACAAAGGGTGGTGTATTGCTCTGCTCTGCGGCACAGTCCAAGTTTGCAGCCCACGGCATGAAGTCGTCCAGCACCCGGTAGCCCCCCTAAATGTAACAATGGCTGCTCAGGAGCGGCCGAGGCCTGGCTCCACATGGACATGCATCCTCACCAGTGTTGACCACGAGCTGGATCTGTGTGTGCCCGCGGCATTTGTCATTCTGACGGTTTGAACGATGGAGCCGGAGGATCAGATGGAAAGGACCATGGACTGCCCAAAGAAGAAGGCTCTGGCTCAGAAGGCCAGCCAGAGTGCCCCTGAGAGGCAAGGATGGCGAGACTTCATCTCCTGTACTTTGGACAGGGGGTCAGGAGAGACTGGTCCCTGGAGAAGGACATCCCGCTGGTTCAAGGAGAGGGGCAGTGAGAAAGAGGAAGGCCCTGGGCAAGCTGGGTCGGCACGGTGGCTGCAACCACGGGCTCAACGGAAGAACATTCAGAAGAACATTCGTGAGGGTGACGCAGGACAGGGCGGTGCTTCATTCTGCTGAACATTGGGTCCGAACCAACGCCACAGTGCCTAACAACAACAGCAACAACAATATTGCTTTAAGACGTTCGTCCCGCTGCTGTCCCCAGGAACTGTTGGAAACCCCACAGGCCATGGTTTACGGTTAGGGTTTTGCAAGACAGCCAAGGAAGAGAACCCTAAAAATACACCAGCCACGGGTAGTTCCTACTCACACCTCGGACCTTGCATCAGAAGGGGGAGGTGCGAACACACACACACACACACACACACACACACACACACACGCACGCGCGCACGGCTAATGTGAACAGATGTGTTGAAGGCTGGTTGTGGTGGTGGGTGGATGCTGCGGAACCTATTTCCCGCTGACGTGTCATCCCACAGGACAGAGCACGGCAGCCTGGGGGGGTTCCAGGCTGTAGTCTTTACAGGAAGGGGCTGCTGGGGGAATTTTCACACGGGGCCCCTCATCAGTGGATTCAGAACGACGACCCTCCCTTCAGTTCGAAGTTAACGCTACAGTGTTGAGTCACCAGGTCCTCTTTTTAAGGTGCACACCCGATCTAAACCATTTCTCTCCAGTTCTCATTTCCAGGGTCTGTCCTGCTGACCTGGCCGTCACACTGGCTACCAGGGTTTCTTGTCTGTTCTATGGGTAGAGCACTGGTATTTTAGGGAGTGGTGTCTCTCGGGACGGCATGGAAGGCCAGGCGAACGCACATTCTGTGTCAGGTGCCTTGTGAAAACTCCCCGCCGTCTCCCGGTCACTCAGGTAGAGCGCTTGCTCTCTTCCTGCAGTAGTCTGCATGCTCCTAAGGGATCCAAGGGACCCCGCCCTGGGTTCCTCACCCACAGCCAGGCTCCTCCTCCCCAGCAGACCCCGGGGCGGCCTGACTTCCCTCCCTATCCTCAGATGTGTCCAGTCTTCAGCACCACACTCCCGGCCATCCCTCAGCTGGGGCTGCGGATCCCTCGATTCCTCACTGGCTCTCACCTCCTCATCCCCCGGTTCTCAGTTCAAATGTCACCATTCCAGACGGTTCTTCCCCAGGCACTAATGCTAAGGAGCACTCACCACTCACCACCGCCGCTGGCTTCTCATCCCCAGCCCCGCACTCCTTCCACCTGGCTAGGTGTGCATGGTCTAGCTCAGGACTCACTGCCGCCATGCCCTGCTATGATGTCACTGTCGGGCGGCTCTCCTCTGCCTCATGCAGCAGACGGGCTCCCCAAGAGCAAGGTCTCCACAGGCTTCTCCTTACAATCTGTAGCCAACAGTTCCTCCTGGCCTTCCTTGTGGCCAACAGATTCACGTCCATGAAACCCAGGTGAAAGGACTCACGACAGATGAGCAGGTAAGCAAGATTAAGCCTGGGCATCCCTTGCTTCCTCCACACTGGTCTGTACCACGCTGACTGGCCCATGCGCCCCTGAGCGCTTGTAGTTAAACATGTGCCTTGGGCCTAGAAGACACTCCGTAAAGATTTACCCGACCAACATGGAAGATGAGATTCAGCAGAAAGCCTCACATACTGTGGGGCTGGGGGGCTTGTTTTCAGAACATGATTTCCATCCATGTTTATGGGAAATAACCTTGTGAGTCACACAAAATGTGGCTGGGTCAGAGGACAAAGTTCAAGAATTCAATCACTCCACATTTTCTTGGGACTGCTCCTTCTAACACACTCACCCGGACAGTCCACCCAGAAGATGGCCTGTGGAGGCTCCCTTGGAATGCACAGAAATATCTAGAATGCACACGCATTGAGTCTAGAATGCACAGCCTTGTTTCCCAGGCTGAGAGCGGGTACCAAGAAGGACCAGCACTGCCTTCTGAGCAGCACTGGGAGTTTCCTTCCCAGAGCCCTCTCTCCTGAAGAGGGAGAGAAAAATCACCCTCACCCATCTACTGTAGGCCTGCTGTTTCACACACACCACCTTGAATCAGAGACCCAAGAGTAGAAGGTGAGACAAAGGTGCCCAGAGGTCCTCAGCTTGTAGGAAGAAGAGGGGGGATGGGAAGGGAGTTGGTTTCGAGTTAGAAGCCAGGAGCATTCACTCTCCGGAGCAGTTGTGGGTGTTAGGTGGCATGGAGTGGGCTCCAACCCATAGCGACCACAGCAGAAGGAAGCGCTGCCCAGTCCTTTGCTACCCTGGCCGTTGTTCCTGTGTCTGAGCCCATTGTTGTCCTCCTGTCTCCTTGAGGGTCTTCCTCTCTTTCGCTGACCCTCCGCTTCGCCAAGCAGGATGCCCTTCTCCAGGAACTGGTCTCTCCTGACCGCATGGCCCTCCCCCAAATGAAAGACAGCCCCCGAGTCATAGGAGGGAGCCCAGGTGGGAGCCCCACTCTGCCCCACCATTCACAGGGAGGTCAAATCCCGCCACTGGGAGGCGGGGCTGGCTCCCTGGGACCCTGCAGAAGAAAAGCTATAGAAGAAGGATCCGGACTTGGGGTATGGTTCAAGCCAGGGAGCTCTCCACACCCCCTCCCTCCACTGTGCCCCTCTGTCCCTACAAGAGGCTGGCCTTGGCTTCAGGGTGGGTAGTCCTAGAAGTCAGCTGGGTGGGCAGTGAGCAGCCCACAGTGCTCCACCATCAATTAGCAACCATCTCAGAATGGCTCGTTCACCAGCCGTGACCAGGAGAGATGGTGAGCGAGCAGACAGATGGCTGGAAACGCCAGCATGGGCAGCTATTTTAAGCATGCCGGTTGGAGCCAGAAACCAGGGAGGAGAGTGACAGCACCCAGGGAGAGAGATTCTTTTGGGGCAGAAGAGAGAAACTTGCCAACAAGACAAGCAGGTTCCTTTCCGGGATTCAGGCTCTGATTGGAGCAGTGTGGTCGCTGGGGTCTGGGGGCGGGTTCTGACTCACAAACCCTGTGTGTGCAGGGTGGAACTGCTCCGTGGGGTCTGCAAAGCCCAGACCTTGGGCATCAGATGGCCAGGCCTTTCTCATGAGGTGCTTCAAGCACAAGAACAGAGGCGAGGCATGTGCAGGAGCAGGCAGGGCTTCACTCTGTGGTTGGACCGACCTAACAACAATGTGTGTGTATGTGTGTATGTGTATGGGGGTGAGGAGGGGGAGTTCAAACCACCAAGCTCTGTGCCACTCAAGAGGAGGTGCCCCCGCCCCCAAGTCCACCCAGCCCTGCCTCTCAGCAGGTCCTGTCCATCAACAACCCTGTCACTTGGGAGGGAAGGAAGACTGTCCCTGCGGCGCTTGGCTGCTGTCCTTCAACCAATGCTTCCTCTCATGTAGCAGAGGCGTGTCCCATTGCTTGATTGCTTCTTTTCTTTAGGTAAAGCTGAGGTCTAAACAAGTGTCTGGGGGGTGGGCTGGGGTGGCATAGCTGGTGCAGTAGGAGAATTCTCTCCTCAGGCACAGCCACCTCCAGTCTGCCAGGGGAGGCGTGTGTGTTGCCATGACGGGCACAGCACAGAAGGCACGCTAAGGCAGACTAGGAAGAAAGGCCTGGAAATCTACTTTGAGAAATCACCCAATGAAAACCCTAGGTGGACAGCCGGGTTTGGGTGGGTGGGGGGGGGGTTACTCACTGTCAGGAGAAGGACCGTGGGTGGGGAGGGATGTCAACAGGGCCCAGGACAATCTGGGTGGACGCTGGTTATTAAACGGGAAACCTGACTGTCGAGTCAGCCTCCAGGATAACAACAGAGGGTGGATGTTAAGGAGAAAGGAAAGGATCCCTCTGGACTACAACGTGGTCTGTCCTCCACCAGTCCTGGGCATGACGTGGGGCTGGGCATTGGGGTCTTGTGCCCGGTGACACACCGTGAACTGGGGGAGATGGAGGGCAGCTCAGAGCAGCAGCCACAGCCGCGGCGCGGTCACACTTTGAAGGCACTTGATGAATGCATTACAGTCTCTGCGCTGAAATCGAGAAAGACGGCGAAGCCCGGAGCGGGACCGGCACATGGAGCAGTGTTCTTGGGAGCCAGGCACTTGGGAGGGCCTGCCAAGGGTTATTCAGGGTCAAGCTTCCCGGCGGGCCTCCCTGGCCATGGGTGGCCACAGACCACTGGGTGACCAGGGGTCCTTTCATGTCCACCCAGACCAGATGTCCCATGTCCCCGTCCCTTCCTCCCACACGCTTCCTCCCAGAACCCTGCAGCCTTTTCTTCTCCTCCCCAAGGCAGTAGGCCGACGAGCTTGAAAGTATAAATAGTTCAAAGAGGGGAGAATCCTGTTTCACTGGAAAGAAAGTTCTGGAGTGCAGAGAAGACATGGTGCACAGCTCTGTCCTTGAGGCGAGGAGGCCACACTGCTTGGTCCCCCAAACCCTCGCCTGTGAAGGGGCATGGTCATCCCTGACCAGCCTGTTCACGTGGATCTGGACAGGTGTACGGATGTCGTATCAACAGAAACATAATCATCCATGTCGGGAGCCAGGGAGACCATGGGTGCCGAGTCAGCGACAGCTTGTAGGGGGCCTCGTCTGCTGACACCCACCTGGCCACCCAGCCCCTTACCTGCTGTGGCCATAGCTTCTGGGCACATGGTACAGGAAGACATTTCCTCGGGCCTGCCTCGCCCATCGGGTGGCCATGTCGATCACAGGGCAGGTGATGAAGTAGTCCCTGGGGGAAGGAGAAAGAGGGGTGTCTAATTACCCGCCCCTCTAGGGCTGGAGGAGGGGGCGGGGACGTCTGGCCCACGGGACACCTAAGACCCCAGAGTTACCAACACCTGCTAACATCACATCCTTCATCAAAGAGAAGTCATTCCAGCTATTGTGCTCCCAAAAGACCAGACCAAATCAGACCCACTGTCACCAAGCGTTTGTTGACCACAGCAAACCCAAAGGGCAGGGTAGAACTGGCCCCGTGGTTTCCTAAGACTGGAACGTCTCACGGAAATAGAAAAGCTCCTCTTTCTCCCAAGGAGTGGAAGGTGGTTTTAAACTGCTGATCTGGTGGCTATAGGCTCACATGTAACTACCACGCCACCGGGTCTCTCGTTATCGCTATCGTAGTAGGGGTGAGTTCATGAAATGTTTGACCTGCATGACCTGTGAATGATGTTGTAAGTATCCAAATGGCCCTTGGCACAGAGAGAAGGTTCCGCACCCCTGGTGTAAATGCAGCTGTGCCAGCTCAGGACACCACCCACCAGGCCCTCAGCACAGGCTCTCCCAGAAACCCCTCTGCCTTGCCCAAAGTGGCTCTCTCACGTCTCCACCACCTCTGCTGGCCAGATAGGTGTCGGCCAGCCGGGTTGGGTGGCCTTTTTCTACTTTGGAGTAAGGCTGGCCGGGATGAACACTTTCCTTGGGGCTGCCCCACAGGGAGCGCTAAACAGCACTGTGGGGCTCAGGTACCCATAGCCCTTTGGGATTCCCCACATGAGCCTGGGATGCAGTGGGCTGAGACCCGGGGCAGGAAGAGTGTGAGGGTCCTTGTTCATGCTGTCCAGTCCTAGGGTGGCCAGGAGCCTGTGCCCTCCACTCCACCCCGCTGTTCGGCACCCTGGGCAGCGGGAATGAAGGCTGGCAGGGACACCGCCCGGGTCTGTGGCAGGCTCACCGGGTGGCATTCTCCAGCGCCCGGGAGAAGGCAGCATACTGGTCCTCCGTGTGCTCCAGAGAGTAGTACCAGGAGGCTGCGGCCTGCACCCCGGCGTCTGCAGCCTCACCACCCAGGGCATTCTGCAGCGCCCGGTAGAAGGCGGTTTTGCTGCTGCTCCGGCCTTGACTCTCCTCAAATTGCTGAAACAGAGACATGTGGAGTCCCCAGTGAGGCCCGCGGGGTGCGTTCTCTGGGGGAAGCCATGGCCCTGTGCTTAGGGCTGCAGGTCCTAGGGCTGGCTGGTCGCCTGGGTCTGAATCTCAGCACCACCTTGTTCTATCTGCTTGCCCCTCCCGGCTTTAGCTCTCCCAGCCATCAATGGGGACTTCCTGCAGAAACCCCCAACCCCAAGCCCCTATCGGCAAGTCAGTTCCGACTGGGGTTTCTGAGGCTGTCAGTCTTTCTGGGAGCAGACTCTTCACCCAGCTCCCAAGGAGTGACTGGTGGGTTTGACCCGCCAGCCTTCTGGAGAGCAGCCCCATTCTTACCCAGCTGGGCTCCTGCCATCTGCAGAAGGCTGCCAAAAGCCAACCCCCAGGTTCTCACCATGATTCCTGTTCCTAGCACCCATGTGAGTCACTGGAGACCTTTCTCCCAAGGCACCTCTGGGTGAGCAGTCAGTGCATTAGGGGCCCCACCACCAGGGACTCCACCAGGCTAATATAAGCACCCCAACAGGCTCGATGCATGGGAACAACTCAAAGGGGTGCACAGCACTTAACAACAGCAACATCTCCCTGTGATTGAGTCCGTGCTGGCCCTTCGTGACCCTGTAGGGCAGAGTAGAACTGCCCCTGTGATTTCTCACAAGGTCACTCTTTAGCTCTTTAGGTGAGTAGAAAGCCCCGTCTTTCTCCCCCACCAGAGCTACTGGTGGTTTTGAACTGCTAACCTTGCAATCAGCAGCCCAATGCTCCACCGCCATGCCCCCAGGGCTCCTGGCACTCAAGTGCTCAACAAGTGCCAGCCGTCACTACACTTTGATACACTGCAGTCCCACACCTCCTTGCCACTTGCTATTCCTGCACGACGGTCCCGGCTGGATCATGGGTGACTGGGGTCTGGTTTTGCAGGAGAGCTATGTTCAGCTTCAGCCTCTGACCCAACTACTCAACTGGTGACTTTTTTGCATGCTCCCCTATACTGATTCAGCCCTTCATTCAGGCCTGGGGGACAACAGTGGGCGTGCTGGCCAAGTGCCCAGCTCTAGGGGGCTCACATTCACGTCGGCTCAGCTGGGGAGTGAGCATGTTCGTGGGAGCAGACGCCATGAGGGCACAAGAGCTAGTGCGTTCTTTGAAGCCGGATGGTCAGCCAAAGCATCCAGCTGCAGCAGCATCCACCCACTCCCTCCCTCCCCGCAGTCCTGGCTCTCCTGCAGCCTGCTTAGGGGGTCTGGCCGATCATGACCCTGCCCCAAGACTCAGCTTCCCCCTCTCTGAAGATGGGGGCTGCCCAAGCAAGGGGTGCCATACCCAGAGAAGGAGGCTGGTGCCCTCAGGACTGTGCAGCCCCGCTGTGGGTGACAGACTTCTAGAATCACCTGTCAACGGGGGTATGTGCTTATCTGTGCAGCCTGGCATGCCTGGCTGTGTCTGTCACTGTGTCCAGGCGTGCAGGTCAGGGAGCAGATGTGAGTGACCCCACATGGGGAGGTGTCTTACATGGCTTCCAGCCGCTCCTGGTGGTGACTCTCAGCCTGGCCTAAGGAAAGGAGACCGGCCAGGGCTGGGGATAACTCATCAAAAACAGGACCACAGCTTGGGGAGCGGGGTCTGGAGTCCTTAAACTGCCCACCCATGTGATTTCTCAGAGAGAAAACAGTACCATCTTAATACCCATTGTATAAGAATGGGGAAAGACAAGCGGATCCTTCTAACCAGTGACTTGCCAATACTTTTAACCACAGTCTGCAAAGAAAGACCTTACCGACATAATATAGGCATGTGCACACACACGCACACCACACACCATACCCCACCATACCCGGCCCCTCGTGGAACAGAGGCAGGTCGTTGTGGATGTTGACAGGCCCTGTCCCCCGGGTCTCACTTAGCCCTGACCAGGACCTCTTGGTGGTCAGGTGGCGCGAGTAAAGTCTGCCTGCTGGCTGCTTGGTCCATGGATGAGATGAGCACTGGGTGTGGATCAAGAATTGGAGTTCACATCTTCACTGCCAGCCCTTTTTTTAAGGGGGATGCCTTAGACAAGAGAGCTCGCTCCTTTCCAAGCCCTTTGCCCTCTCTGACCCTCGGGTCCCACTGAAGTGATGCTGACAGGTCCCGCCCTGCAGACCAGAGAGGGCAGGGCCTATCGTGTGTGTGCAGGTTTGTGGTGTGTCCGTGAAGACCACAGTTGGAAACGCTCTGCGGGGAAGTGCCCCTCTGTCACAGAGAGTCGTGATGATGAGTCACAAACCGGCTCAAGGGACCTAACAGGACAGTCCAGGGCCAGCGCCTGGCAGGGTCCCCCAGAAACTGTCTCCTTTGCAGGTTGCTGTTCACGGCCATCACGTCAGCCCCAACACCCTGCCAGCCAACACACAATGAGGTGAGATGCTGCCAGACTGAGCCTCCGACCATCAGAAGGGGGTCGGCCCGGCAGGATTCATTCTGTTGGCTGGTTTTCAGAACTCCGCCTCCAGGCCTTTTGTGTCTGAAGGCACCATTGGAACCTGTCTGGCCTCAGAGCAGCTCGCCAGCCTCCCCTGACAGCGGTGTTTGAGGTGCCCTGGTCAGGCCTCGAAGCCAGGCCTCCCCATGGAGGACAAGAGCCCTCCCCACACACACTGTGTACTATGCTTCTGAATGCCATCGAGCCCACTCTGACCCTAGGGGGTGGGCACACCTGTCCTGGTGCGTTTCTGAGACTGTAAACATCTGTGTTAGTAAACAGCCTCATCTTTTCCCCATGGAGTGGGTAGGGCAGTGGTTCTCAACCTTCCTAATGCCACAACCCTTCACATAGTTCCTCATATTGTGGTGACTTCCCAACCATAAAATTATTTTCATTGCTACTTCTTAACTCGTATTTTGCTACTGTTATGAATCAGATGACCCCTGGGAAAGGGTCGTTTGACACCCCCAACGGGGCTGCAACCCATAGGTTGAGAACCGCTGGGCTAGTGGGTTTGAACTACCAGCTTACCACGGCCTACCAGAACTCCTGTCCTTTGCTTAGAGATCCTCTGTTATCAATGGGGAGTGGAGGCACGTTTCACTGCCCATCTGAGGGGGCAAGAAGAGGCAGCTCCGATGGTTAATCCACCAGCCCAGGGGTTCTCAACCTTCCTAATGCCGAGACCCTTTAATACAGTTCCTCATGTTGTGGTGGCCCCTCCACCATAAAATTATTTCATTATTACTTCATAACTGTAATTTTGCTACTGTGACCCCCATGAAAGGGTCGTTTGACCTCCAAAGGGGCCGTGACCCACAGGTTGAGTGACTGATCCATGACCTGTTCTGCCGGCCCCAGGTTCTAGTGCCTCACGGAACCCGCTTTACCTGGGTCCGGACCCTAGCACCACCACCACCTACCGCAACAGCTGGGACTCAGCACGGCTTCTCTTTTCAGGAAATTCATGTCCACACCGGAGGCGTGTGCACACGGCTCTTGCCGTAATCTGTCACAAGCAGCTCTGCTTTCTGAGCTGGGGCTCCTGCCAGTGCCAGATACCAGGCACTGCTTCCAAGACTCCAACAGGAGGCCCCCCCCTCCAGTTCCCCGCAGGGTGCTCCCCACCCACTCCACCTGCTCCGGGAGGAGGCCAACTCCAGGCCAGGCTCAGGGTCGCCAGGCTCTGGTTCTGATTTTCCTGGTCTCAGAGCATTCCTCCTTGGAACAAATCTGGTTTTGATCATGCAAATTAATGCCCGGTGCATGTAGGCAGGCTGTCAATTTCAGCAGCCAGGGAGCCGCTGAGAAAGAGAGAGAGAGAGAGAGAGAGAGACAGATCCCCACAGCGGCGGCTGATGAAGGATTTCAGGAGCGAGCTGCCACCTCCCAGAAGAGCTCCATTCTCTGCCAGCAGTGTCTCCAGCCGGCCCCATGCTCCGCGGGTAGGTTGTTAACTTTGCCTGGGGCACAGCAGGGTCTGGGTGGGTCATTGGCAGCCTGGGTGCAGGTGGACATCCACAGGTGGATGTGGGGACTTGGAACTTATCCTTGCCCATCTCTTGGGTCTGAGAGCCTCTGCTGGGACAGTGGTCCAATGAGCTTTACTGGGAGGGGTTAGACCCTCTCATAGCCTGTTACTTGTACTGGGAAACTGTGTCACATGGGCTCTGGGCTGGGATCCGGCTGGTATCTGAGCCGGGTAGGTGTGTGTGTGTGTGTGTGTGTGTGTGTGTGTGTGTGTGTGTGTGTGTGGTGTATGCCTGCTGGGCTCTGCAGCCGGCCTGGGTCAGGTGAGGTGATTCAGGGATTGGATTTCCTTTGTCTCCTGCTTTCTCTGGAGAGTGCAGATGCCCTGGTCCAGGGATGACCATGCTGGAGGTTTGCACACAGTCTTGTTGCAATGGAAAGAATTGGCCACATGCACTGAGCACATGCGCTCTGCCGGGCCCTGGTGCCTGGGTGCCTCCTCGCCTTCAGGAAGGTGTGTCCCAGCAATCTCCCCATGTGACAGCTAGGGAAAGGGTGGAATGTGTCTGGAAAACTTGCCGGGCCCTGACTATAATCCAGGGCACCCAGGACACTGCTTCTCCCTGTGAGCAGATCTTGACCCGTGACTGGCTCACCATGTCCCCCTGGCAGCCTGTTGGGGTGTAGCACTGGTGTCTGCCTTCCCATGGAGCATTTGAGTGATTTCCTCTGCTGGAGTCTCTGCTCGATCCCTGACTGTGGGCTTCGGAGGAGCAGGCATTTCATTGGCATGTGTGTCCCAAACCCCGGGCATGGTGATGAGGAAGCCAACAGACGCAGTTGTTGGAGAGGCCTGGCTGATGGCCGTTCCAGTTGGTGTGACCGACTACATCCACTATGTCCTGTTACTCTTTTGGGGTTCAGATGTGGGGGCTAGCATTGACAATTGGGCCTCAGGAGGACAAGGCACTGCTGGAGCTGGGCCCCCCACCCCTCCCCAGGAACGGGCCCCAATTGAAAGTGCAGCCACCCTACGGCCACCACTGTTACAGGTGGTCAGACCAGGCACTATGCAGCCTCTCGGGGTAAGTGGGGCATGCCTCCAAACAAACTCAACCTTCCTCTAGGTGCAGGTCAGGGGCAGGCTAAGCCATGGGAGGTCCATCTCGGGGGTACATCTGAGTATGTTTTGAAAAGATGGGGGGCACCAGCTTGGTGTCTGTGGTGCCTCTGGACCCCCTGATGTGGCTGCCTACATCATGCACTGGGCATGGACTTCCCCTGGGCTCTGGTTGGGGGCACACGAGGGAGCATGGCTGAGCAGTGCCACCCCTGCTGTAGGGATGAAGGCTGTCTCAAGTGTGGGCACAACCCCACTTTTGCAGCCAGAGGACCGTGGCAAGGTGGTGGTTGTCAGGGGCTGTCTCGTTGGTTCCGACCCATAGTGGCCCCGTGCACCTCGGAAGGGAACAGCCCCGCCCTGCTCCACCCTCACCACTGTTCCTATGTGTGAGCCCACAACCGCAGCCTCTGTGTCCATCGTCTCATGGAGGGCCTCCTCTCTCTCGCTGGCCCCTCCACTTTCCCAAGCATGATGCGTCCCTCCTGCGGGACTGGCCTCTCCTGACAACGTGCACAAAGTAGGTGAGACAAAGTCTCACCATCCTGGCCTCTAAGGAGCACTCTGGCCGGACTTCTCCCCAGACAGGTTCAAGTTGGGGGTGGGACTTCGCAATGACTGGTTGGAGGCCATAGGACCCTCCAGCCTCTCCGAGGCCCTTGCTTGACGACATGGCGCACCTGCCCCTTGGCATGCTGAGTGAGGTGAAGTGAGGGGTATGGGACAGAACAGGCCTTTGTACCAGGCCCGCTTATTGCTGTTGATCTGACTGACGCCCGGTGACCTTATTAGAAGTGGACAAAGCGCTGCCCTGCCCTCACTTGTCTCTCTGACCACTGGTACACGTGCGCCTCCCGGAGCCCACTGTGTTGGATATAGGAGTGCACTTTGTCTGCCTGCTAGCCCTGGGAAGACACTGAAAATGTAAGACCCACGTCATGGGCTCAAATGGAACCCTGGGGGCGCCATGAGATGTGAGTTGGCTGCTCACCACAAGGTCAGTGGTTCAAACCCACCAGCCACTCCATGGGAGAAAGACGAGGCTTTCTGCTCCCGTCAAGGGTGACAGGGTCAGGGGCCGTTCTACTCTGTCTCACAGGGTTGCTGTGAGTTGGCATCAACTCAAAGGCAGGGGGCTTGGCTTTTGGTTTGGGGGTTTGACTGTTCACTAGGCAATTTCCTCGGCATGGGTGTTCAGCGGACAGGTAAAGAGATGGGGTCGCAGTACGCAGAGGGCTTGCATTCTCCTTGGGGAGGGGTGGGTATAGATGCCAGCCAACCTCAGCGGTCCTGCAGGTCCCAGGTCCCAGAAAAAATAAGTTCGGCTGAGATGCTGCTGTGCTCTGCGAAGTGTGCAGCGGCCCGAGGACAGAGTTCGGAGGACTGTGAGGATGACCCATATGCACCCAGAGGGGAGCAGGAGCGCTGGGAAGCCACCTGGCACAGGGTGGCCACTCTCCCACCTTCCCTTTGTGAAGGTCACAGTCTCTGCCGCGGGCAGTACGAGGAGGTAGGCCTGTCCTGCCTGTGTTAGGTGCTGGCAGAGACCAGCACGAGGGGGCAGAGAAAGCCAGCGTGTCCTGCTTGGCCAGGCCAGATCCCTGTGCTGAGTGAGCCCCTGGGGCAAGAGGTGGCAGTTAGAGAAGCAGAGTGACTCTCCGTTCGAGGCCCAGGGTAGACCAGAGCCTGACCTCTGCTGGCTTGACTGCATCTCCCTTCTGTCCACTGTTTCCCTATGAGTGGGCATCTGCGCCACTCCAGTGTCGGCCACTGGGATGACTGTTTAGGTACGGAGGCTGCACACCTGTCCAGCAGCATGGCTGTCTTCCTGCTGTAGCAGAGCTTCCCCGCGGTCACAGGCTCTGAGGGGACACGGGGTCCTCTTTGGTTGAGTAGTGATTCTGTCGGGTTTGGTTTTGCTGTCCCTCTAAGTCCAGAAGCTGGACAGGGGACCCTTGACCTGTCCCCAAGGTGGCCCTCTCTCTATGTGTTGAGTCTGGGGCCACTGCCCCACATTTCTCCATGGAAAGGACAGGAGCAGCCTGTCCATGGAGGGGTGGGGGCAGAGGGCAGAGCTAGTGACCTGCTGCCAAAGCCCATGGCCACAGCTTCCAGTCCAGGCAGGAAGTAGGTGCTGGGGCAGGAGTCACGCGGCTGGACCCCTAACAGTCCATACAAAGCTGTGACTCCCAGACCCCAATACTACTTCCTGGGTAAGGCAACCAACACAGGGAGCTCCCACAGACAGTCACCCCTCACTTCCCCCAGTTATTGGTGGGGGGGCCCAGGTCCTTCATTGGGCAAGGGCCCTGGGCAGTACCTGCTTCCTATTTCCCACGGTGCCCCCGCCACCCATGAATCTCCAATTCTAGCATCCCCCTGGTCACCATCCCCCAAAGCCCTCCACAGCCCCTGGAAACAAATGAGGAAGCCAGTGGCTTGGGGCGCAGCACCCCACTGCCCACCTTGATGGCCTTGGCTCTGTCGATGAGCCCATCATCCTGTGCACTCCCCGTGAGCAGATCGACCTTCATCCGCGGAGCTCTCTGCAGCGCCCTGGCCGGCGTCTCCCGGAGGTACTGGCCATCGACCACAGGGCCCCAGTAGTGGAAAGGACCGCTCACGGCCAGGAGCTAGATGGGATGCAAAGGGGTGTGAGGTGAGTGAAGGCCAGCGGGCAGTCAGGCTGCTTAGCTCCCCTGAGCACCAGTGTCCGTGACTCGCGTGGGTCTCTAGGGGGCAGCCCTGGGCAAAGGACTGGTGCCCCACTTGACAGGCCCCGGGATGGATGGAAAGCCGGCTTGTGCTCAGCAACGGGGGGTCATCAGGACCTTCCAGAGCCTCAACAGGCCCCAGCAAGGAAGGGCAGTCTTTGAGCAAGGCAGAAGGGGCTGTGGCTGAAAACGAGGTGGTGGCCAATACCAGGGTCCCCTACGCCAATGTCACCTGCTGCCCGCTCCCCAAGGAGGCCATGTGACAGGGACTGTGGGTAAGCCCTGCCCAGTCTCTGTACTCAGGCATCAGCTGAGCTGCCAGCTGTCTCCCCTGGGGCCCCTCTCCATGGTGGAGCCTGAGAGAGCAGGCCGTGAGCATCTTCTGGGGGCTGGAGAAGGGGCAGGAAGGCCAACTCCACCGCCCGCCTGTGAGACCACGTGTCAGATGCTGTGTGCATCGGAGCCGCGACACTGCTAGCGCCCATCACAGTGCCGGCCACGGGGCCAGTCTCACCTCACCCTCCAGCCCCCTAAGGTCTGCGTCATCAACCCATCAGGCAGGTCAGGGACTGAGGCTCAGCGGGAGCTGCCTGACTTCAGCTGCCGTGCATACGGAAGCTCCTCGGGGGCCTGGGAGCCCGCATGCTAGTGCCAGGTGGCCATCGACCTGCTGTGTGGCCTTGGCGGGGCCCCTCGCACCCAGTGCCCACCTTGGTCTGGGCGTCGTTGAGCGTGCTGGCGGGCTGCTGGCGGAGGCAGGACACCTGGTCGTGGCTGGGCGAGGGGGGGCAGCCCACTTCCTCAGCCAAAGCGGCTGCCTGCTGCTGAGCCCTCTCATGGCTGATGACGGCGGCTGGGGAGAGGGCAGAGCCCCCCTGAAAGAGAAAGCAGAGTCAGGGACCCCAGTCTGGACCTCCTCCTCCTCTGCCTGGGGCAGGGCCACCTCCCCCAACACTGGGGAGCCCCCCACACATCAGGGAGGAGCGGGTAGATGGAGACGGTCACATGAACAGGTTGTGCCAACTTGCGGGGCGTCTCCCTGAGCCTCAGTTTGCTCATCTGCCCCTGCGGGCTCTGGCCCAGGAGACCCTTGATGCCTTGGCTTTAAAGATGCAGGTGTGCATGGAGATCAAGGGGTGCTGCTGGTGGGTGGACGACAGGGCATCAAATCAAAACCTGGGATGCCAACCACGCTCCTCCTCCCTGCTGCCCCCTGGGCCACCCCGCAACCCCCTCCACAATCACACACTTTCCTGCTTCAATGAAGGGTGCTAGACATGGTTCACGTGAAAGCACATTGTCCCAGCAAAATCAGAGCAGGTCTGCCTCTGTTCCACAAGGACTGAGGAGGCGGGGCGGGGAGGGGGGTGGTGACCCCTGTCTTCACGACTGGTGGAGCTGATGAGCTTGGTGGGGGGAGCACACTATTTTAGGGCCCATCCCCGGGGCTCCCTGCCACCAGCTCAGACCCACTGTCCCCTGGCGAGTCAGGACAATGTCCGATGGAGGTAGTCATGCTGCCCCTGGTGAGACCAGCCACTCCTGTGGGTCAAGGGCTGTGGGCACTACCTCAAGAATGTCTCTGTCATCACCGCTCCACCCTCATGCGCCCAGGAGCCCCGGTGGGCTGTCAACGGCAAGGTCGGCAGTTTGAAACCAGCGGCCGCCCCGCGGGTGAAAGATGGGAGTTTCTAGTCTTGTGAAGATCGACACCCTCCAAAGCAACCACCCCAGTGAGACTACTCTTCCCCTCATCTGCGGCAGAGAAACGGGGCTCGGTGTGAAAGGTCCCTGGGTCTCAAGTCTCTGACTTGCACCAGGAGTCAGACGGCGGGCAACCAAACACCATCTCAAAGCTTGATCGGTTAGTCCCCGTTGCAGGCCAGCTCCTTGGGACTTCACAGGTCTGAGCTCACTCAATCCTCCCTGCCACCAGCGGAGGTGGGAGTCACTTACCCACTAATTATTGCCAGCAAGAAGCCAAGGCCCAGAGTCTTACCCAAAGTCACACCGTGGGAGAGCGGCAGGGCCAGGACTCACACCCAGACAGCCCACCTCCAAGGCTAGGCTGTCTACCACCATGTCATGCTGTGTCTGCGTGGCTAGATACACAGTAGAGCCCAGACCTCGACGCCGCCGATCCGTTCTAGCAGGACCGCCGAGATGTGATGCAGTTGAGTTCCGAATCAATTTTTCCCATAAGAAATAACTGACAATCGATTAATCCTTTCTCAGCCACCAAGTTTTTACCCTAATCTTGCCTTTTTATACAAAACATTACACAGAAATTTCAAAGTAAATACTGTATATTACTCTAGCATAAGCCGACCCGAATATCAGCCAAGGCACCTACTTTTACCACAAAAACTGCATTAAAAATGTGCTGAAAAACTCTGCTCATACACAAGCATATTCGGTGAGTTAAATAATATCATTTAAATAAGAAACACAACATTGAAAACGTTTTTAACAACTACTGTATGGCCATACCTTGAGATGGATGAGGCTCTGGATCTGTGGACACGGATGTGGAGAGGAGGCATGGAGAGAGAGTCATTGCTTGGAAAGGGAATCCCCTTCCATAAAATCAACTGGTAGCTGATTTTCAGGAGTTTTTTTCCCTTGTTTGCCTTTTTTCACTAGGACCTGGCTGGCTTTCTCTTAAAGAAAAAACTCTGTCTAATGTGGTCCGCTGTTGGCACTTCCTTAACTGTTTTATAAAAGGGTTTCCTAAATTATCGTCAACAATATGGATAACGCAGTTAACCAGTTCCCTATCAGGATGATTCTTTTCAAAAAACTCTTTCTTAGGACCCATGTTTTTTATCTCAAAACAGTACAGAAAGCCCTAAGAAATCAGGAAATTATAGTAAAATGCTTGGAACACAGCTGCAAAAGGTTTAGACAACGTGCACTAACAACAGCAACTAACAGCGAGTGCCTGAAACATGAACTGCTTTTGTTCATAAAAATCACTTGCCTTGGGTCGGATTCTGATGTTTTGTCTGAGCTCCGATGCAAAATTTTCTCCACATTTTGCGTCGAAATCTGATTATGTCGAGTACTGATTCGGTCGAGTACTGGCATTCTAATGTATATGCACATGTGTGCACATGTGTATATGCATGTAAGTGTATGTGCACATGTGTTTACCAGGAGCAAGGCAGCGTGTCCTTCATCTACACCCGCTCACACCTCTGCGCTGACCTGGCTTCTGCCATTTCCAGTCTTTCCTGCCTTTCCGTTCGCGCCCTACCCTGAGCTAAAACCACCCACAGCCAATCTGCTGGGGCCTCAGAGCTTGAGGCCCCGACACACAGTGAGCACCGCAGAGCCGGCTCATTCCCACCAGGCCTTTGAGAGGAAGCCCCTTCATAACTGAGGGCAGTGCCCAGGCTCACCCAGCTGCCACCCACTAGGGGAAAGATGAATCAGGCAGTGCCAAGGAGGGGCAGCCCGCTCCCCTAGGGGCAGGGGTGGGGCTGGGGGCAGGCAGAGGGGTTTGTGAGGGTCTCCTGGAATTCAGGGCCCACTCCAGCATGGCTCTCTGCTTCCAGCTGAGGGGTGCAGGAGAAACCTGGGCGGCTGCAAAGCAACTGGCACCCTCTGGCATGTGGGGCCCAGACAAGCACAGGTTGGGCTGATCCCCAAAGGGCCAGGAGGGAGGACCCGGGCCGAGCACAGGCCTGGTCCACAGGGGAGAATTCTGAAGCTAAGTGCAGCCAGGTGCATCACAGGGTAGAAGCTCTGTGGCCCCAGGTGAGTGACTCTAGCCCGTCCCATCAGCCCTTTCCCTCCCCGTGGAGTCCCTGTGTGAGTGGGCTGGCTGCTGGCAGAAAGTCTGGAGGCTGGAGTCCGCCCAGAGGTGGGGATATAGAAAAACCTTGCAATCTACCGCTGGGAACACAGGGACCCTCCACCAGAAGGGCCGCTGTGAGTCGGCAGCAGGTTGGTTAGGCAATGGGAACCCGCTGCCATCATGTAGACAACGGCTCAGTGCGACCGACCCTAAAGGACAGAGAGGAACTGCTCCCATGGGCTTCTGAGACGATGGCTCTGTAGGAGTAGAGGCCCGTCTTTCTCCGAGGGGCGGCTGACCCTGTGGATTGGAGCCCAATGCGTCACCATGAGGCCACCGGGGCTCCTTGTGAAGCAGTGCCAGGCATAAAACCTGAGCTGGGGTTCTGTGCAGGGGCAGGCGACCTTGGGTGTGCCCCCAAGGGCCCCAGTGGCCTCAGGTCAGCTGTGCGATGGTGGCAGGGCAGCTTTCCTGCAGATGGACTGGGCGTGCTTGTTCTCACAGAGCACACACGCCCAGTGTGCTCAAGGTCAATAGCCCCCCTTCTAAAGCGACCATCCAGCCTGCAGATTGGGCTGGAGCAGATGGTGGCCTAGAGAGAAGCTCGGAATTTCAGGAAGGGGCCCCGGGCGCTACCCCCGCCCTCTGCAGCTGTGAAAAGTCAAGGTCTCTGCTATGGGGAGGAAGTGGTTCAAGACGTGGGTGGCACTGATATTGGAGCTGCTCAGAGAACGTTCCTACCTCTCGAGAAGCATTCTGGTTTCTTCCATTTTCTGAAGAAAACCTCTTTCTTTGTGGAAAGTCAATGGTTAAGCAGCTCAACATCTAGCCAAGGCCTGGAGGTGCCACGGGACAGTCAAGTAGGGCATGGGACTTCGGGGCCAGAGGGGCAGAATCAAACCCTGGCTTGGGGGCTCACAGCTGGGAGGGCCCGGTGCCTCCTTGGGGAATGAACCCAGCGTGGGCAGGGGGCTGGCTCATGTGGGGCCCGAGCCATGCTGCGAGGCAATAGATGCGTGGGCTAATAGCTCTGCAGTGGGGGGTCTGTGAGACCACTGGGGCTACTCCTTTAGGCCACAATGCTGGTTGGGTCATGGGCAAGCCACAGCTCTGAGCCTCACTCTGGCCCGGCTTTATCTCAATCTGACCTAGCCTTTCAACCGCAGTGAGTTTCCACTTTTTTTTTTCCTTTTCTTTCCTTTTTCAAATTTAAAAATAGCCCAAGTCCAAACCGCAAATACCGACCACTGGCACCTCCCCTTGGAGTCTCTGGCCTGACCTCAGTTACCCAGGGTGATGGACATACACTGAAGGGCACACTCATGAACACAGGCAACACGCACAGACACAAAGGCACACCCAGATGCACACTTAGCACAGGCAGAGAGACATACACAAGGGTACACACACAGACACGGACACACCCACATAGCCACACTCATATACACCCAAGACACAGGCAGGGAACACCCTCAGATATACACATGCAGACACACACAGACACACCCACACAGCACACTCAGATACACACACATAAGGGTACGGACACATACACACACACAGAACCCTTGGCTTGGGGAGAAGCCTGCTCCCCGCCACCATCCCCTCCAGGTTCTGGCTGGTTTGACAGGACTCCTTTCTCCATCTGTCACAAGCACCGTGTCTAATTGCTGCAGTCACCTTCTGGCTGCCAGAAACCATTTCAGTGCTTTGCACTAGTAAATTGCTGATTTCTCAGCAAAGGTGGCACCCTGTAGAAAGGGCACTGTGAGTGACAGCCGGCAGGCAGGGGCTGTTCAGTCACTGCCAAGGGAATTTCACTCAGCTCCCGAGCCCCGCCCTGCTCAGCTGCACCTCATGCATAGGCATGATGCCACATATGTCTCCGTCTTAAAAATAATCCTGTCCTGATAACTTGTGAAAGGGCCTAGCTGTTTCTTTCCAGTCTGGAGTGCTGTCCCGGAGACCAAATGGCTGAACAATGATGGGGACCACTGGGCTGTCCTGGACACACGTAAAGCTTGACCTTGACCTCCCAGGATACTAGCCAGGCCTCCACGCTAGTGTGACCATGCT